GTACTGTCAGCTTTCAGCTAGGAAACAAACCAGACTATTACAGGCTTTATTACATTTATGATTTGTTAACTCCAAAAAAAAATGACCAATCACTATAGAACAAGCAGCAAGACGAGGACTCATTTGGCACACTGCTGCTTCGAATTGTATTAAACATATTCCTGGTGACTATGGTTTATGCTTGATGTATCAGCAAGATTTAAGGCTCGCTAGTTTCTATATGTTCATGAGCCTCCAACATGATAGAAGCTGCCCAGAAAAGTACAATAACAACAAAAAAAAAAAATCTACCTTAAGCCAGGTCTGACAGTAGCACTGCACCTAGTCAGAAGTTTTGAAACAGACTACAAAGATGGATTTGAATATCATCCATATAATCAAAGCAGTAAAACAATTCTGATGCCTTTAAGTGACTTTAGTCCAGAAAATTGAGATTGCTGAAGATTGGGTTGAGGGTGTTAGATGTTTGCTTATCAGCTAGAATACTGTATTATAACATGACTGGAAAGTTCAAATTTGCTCCAAAACCTGCAGAAAACTCTAGACTATCATTTCATAGCTAACAGCTAAATGAGTGAACTATTTCAATGCTACTACACATGCTGCCACAGCAGGGATAACTTTGTGGAAAAAAGTAATTAATTGTTTTACTTGCAAGTATCTTATCGAAGACAGCACAAAACTAGGAAGTAATATATTGCAAGTTCTGTTTCTTGAAGTTTGTGCAAGTATTGATCAGAGCCAAGTATAAAACTAGGAAGTAATATATTGCAAGTTTCTGCAAGTATTGATCAGAGCCAAGTACTTTAAGCCAGGCTATCTTAAATTTCACTGCTAGTTTTCTTCATCAGGTGATACTGGATGTACAAATCCAGTTGGTGAGTTCATCACACAGTAAATTTCAAAAACAGCTGTAATTTATTTTAAAGGCATAGTACATTTAAAAATGTCAAGTTTCCATCACATGAAGTGTTGATTTGAGTTCTTGAGTGTATATTCACTGAAATTACATTAGTGCATACAAAATCTTTCAAAACCTTGTCAGTCAAATGGTTCACTGAATTCCTGAGAAACTTTAGTGAGAGTGTGGCAGGTGAAGAATAATTCTGATTATAAATGCTTACAGTTATTTACTGCTTGTATGACAGAGGGTGACAGCAAGTGTCTGAAACAACTTTTGAGCTCTCATGCAGAAGCCTGCTTCTTGCTAGTTGCAATTAGCAATGGGCTGGTTGTAAATCTGGTTAACACCTGGATTAGAAAAGTGGTACTTACTGAATCCTCCAATTAAAAAGAGACAAGAGGTGAAGCTGCCAGTTCAAAGGCAAATCAACATATTTCTGCTTATAGACTATTTAGACAGGAAACAGGACTGGATTAGGAAGAACCTGGACAAAAAGAAAAGCCTGGAAGCAGGGGACACCTATAGCAATATACACCCAGGGACTGGCCAGGCATCCTGGCTAATGACTGCACGCAACACGCAAGCAGCTACACAGCATGAAACCAACACCTTCCCACCTGTCTTACCCAGACAAGCAGCAGTCTCCCCAGTGAGAAGTTCAGACAGAATGGATACAATTCGGCAAAACTGGGTATTGCAGCTCAGTCTTGCACCCAGAAAGATTAACAAAAAAATCTGTACATGATACAGCCAAAGAAGGAAGTGATAATTATCATTGATTAAAGCTGAAGATTACATATGAAAAAACCCACAAAAAAGGAGCAGTTAACTTTATTTAATTTAGCTCATGTAAGTTTTCCACCAGGGCATCCACAAAGAAGAATACTCGAACTTCTTGATATCCTCTGGATGCAGCGTCCAGACAGTTAACATCAGGTTCCACCTTCTGTCTGAGTTACTTGAACTTCTTATAAATAATTCCTTGCAAGTTTGCCCAGTGGTCATGTTTAGTGTTTGGCTAATTCTAGTCAAAGGGAGCTCAGACTTCCTAGTCAAGTTTCACTACCTTCTACCAGTGTTTGAATATATTCATCCTTCCAAATATCTCATTGGTAGCAAACAGATTGACTGCTATTAGTTGAGCAGACTTAACTGCGTATTTGCAGCTCACGATTGAGCTACATCAGACATTCTTCCAGGTTGCCACATAAACTTGTGTGTTATCAGAGCAGCTGACACAGAAGGCTTGTTAAAAGACTTCAGTTTTGTTTGTTCCTGTAAGAGTCCAAACATCCATTCCCTGTGTTCATGCATTAACTAAGGAACTCAACTAAGACTTCTTGAAATGCTGACACTAAATTAAAATTCAGAAGTTCCTGAGAGCCTGCTCTTCCAAAGTAATGCAGGAAGAGGCAGACTGTTTTTGAAATAACTGAACAAAAACCCGTCAGTTTGAAGAGTTTGCAAACATCTAAGCAGGACATTATATTAATAATTCCCCTACATTTCAATAATTATTTAACAATTAGTCTTACAAAAAGATTACTTAAGTTAAATTTCCATGTGCTTGCATGGACCCTAATTTCCCTCAGGCAGTATCAGAAGTTTAAAAACGTGTACTTGTAAACATTTTCTTTCAGACTCTTTTAAAGGATATCTGAAGATATTTTTCAGCCTTATAAATATAGCTCAGTAACTATATAGCTAAAATAACATTACTTTACAAAGACAACATGAGTGACAAAAATATTTATGAACTGTGTTTATATAAACATATTGGCTTGTAAACAAGTTGACAACATTTACATTAAATATTTAAAGAAAACTTCAAAGTAGGCAATTTGCATTAAAGAGAAAAATAAGTTAAAAATTAATCACATCTTAATTACTCCATTGGTTATTACTAAATCAGGCACCTGGCAATTTCAGAACTCAACTGTACTAAAACACTTAACAATGCTGAATATTGCTATTTACACTAATGATTTCCTTTGATAGAGTAAAAGCCACCTCATAGTTACCTGAGGATTCCCACGGTAACTCAGTGGGGATAACAGTACGAAAATGACTTATTCTTCACAAACTGGGAACTCGCCACTTAGGTGGATTTTTTTTGTTTTTTTGCATACTTTAAGGACAGTCTTTTGTTCACTATAGTTTTATATGGGAATCCCAGAAATGTCAGCAAAACTAAATACAAAAGTTAAGTCACATCCTTCTGAAAGTGTAAACCTCATCCAAATCTTTCTAGCAATGTTTGCACCAGCTGTTTTGCTGATTTTAGCTAGTTTTATTTATGAGCTTGAATAAAAAAGTCCTAAAGGTTAACCATGAAGTTATTTAAGAAAACTTAAGTTAACAGAACAGCAACATGAATTATGAAATAGTTACAACAGTTCATCAAATTATACATCAGTAAGTTACATATACATTTAATCATAAAACAGTATTTTCTATATATTATTCAAACCCAGCTTCAATATTTGTTCTGCTACAACAGTGATACTCAAAGTGATATTCAGTGTTTTACCCCTTTAAATGAGTACACTTATTTCCTCTATTTTTACAGGTGCAAGGATGCTTATTTGGATACCAACTTCATATGGGTATGACTTTCAACATAATTTTTAATTACATTTTTCCATCTTGAATGCAAAAGGCTATCAATGGTAATAAACAGACAGTTCATCATCACTCATGTCTGAATCATCTTCATCCACTTCACCTTCAATGACCGATTTCTTGCCTTTGCAGCATGAAACAATTAATCCAATTAAAAAGACCTGCAAATTTAAAATAAGTAGTAAGAATTCCTGTTATTCAATTGAGTGGCATACAAGCGCAATATATGTAAAACAAAATGGCAGTTTAGTGATGCAAATGATTCAATGACAACTACTGTAAATTATCCGACTTGATTCAGTGATCAAAAGTACTTACTGCAATGAATGCCCAGTTCCCAAAGTAATAGGCAGCACTGAAGAACCAAAATTTATGAAGAAAGAGGTATGTTCGAGTAACAATACACTGATCTAAAAGGAAAGCAAATAGTACTGATTAACACAGAACAAATTAAAGTCAGCTAATTCCAATTCATAGGATAATAATCCATCAGTTTTAGAGAGTGTTCAGCTCTGAAGAACAATTACAGTCCATTAAATCAAATTTACTCTCCTCTACCAAGAAGGTATACAAGAGGGATATTTGTTATTATGAGAGACTGAATGAAAAAAGGTAACACCAAGAGTTGTACAGGTAAACCCATTACTATCGGGTACAATTTCTCCTACAGATGTGTCAATTATTGCCTGTTCTGACAGATTCTAGTTACTAACTTCCCATTTTAGATAAACTGTGGCCATAAGGAGGGAAAAAAAAAAAAGCAGATTCTGCATTAAAACCACATTTCAGTACTTCAAAAAAAATGTCTCTCTACCAAGATTGCACAAGTTTTATAAAAACTGAAGTCAATTACAATGTTGAGTCATGTAAGCAAAAAAACCAACCCACCACATACTGGGTGTTTTAGATAGAGGGCTTATTTGTACTCAAGACCTGACAATACCAGTTAAATCCTACTCCTTCTCTAGCACCATAAATACAGCCACATCTACAAATACTCCTTAAGTATTCTTCTCCATTGAGAAGTGGCAGATTTTAACAGAATTAAGAATAAAATTGTCAGGGCATTTTTAAGACTGCAGACAGGCAGCATAGAGGCTTTTATGGGACACAGCCTGTAACATTCAAAGGCCACATCAGAGGGCAGCCAGCAGGGCACGCGTGCCAGCTGACGAATCTCTCCAGTGCAAGGAGAGGAGCGCAGAGAGTTCATGGTAAGGTATAACGTGATCTCCTGTTTTTTTTTTTCCTCAATTACCATGCTTCAGACCCTACCTAAACCCCATTACAGAGTAGAAATCAGTAGCTAAACATTTTGAACACTAGAGAAAGTACGCAACCCAAGATTTGCTTGTTTTTTCCCTCAGTTCTGAGCATCAGTTTGGAAATACCCTCTAGGTGCAGCTGAAGGACAGACTTCCCACCTCCTGAAGTTGTGAGTGATGCGCTGCTGCTTATATAGTTTAACTTTTAGCAGCCTTCTAACCAGCTAGCAAGCTGACAGTCATCAGGTTCTGAAGGTATTTTATTTAAAGATTCAACTTCCACATTAGATCACAAGCTTGTTAACGATAGCTCACAATTTCCTGGGGAGAGAAGAGTTAGGAGTTAAGGATAGGTCTTTTTCAGGAAGGTCTGCAGCTTGACCTTGCCAGAATGATCCCCCCATACCAAATCCGTACACTCTCTAGAATAATTGTACCTAAACAGAGAAGCAACTCCATTCCTTCAAACAGCTCTCTAAAAACTTACGCTTTATAAAAATAACAGAATAATTTAAAATACTAAGCTACTACTACTTTATGCAGCAGACCAATTTCTGGAATCTATTACACAGTATCAGCAGACCAAAAAAAAGAAGTGAAACTGGGATTTCACAACTACTAGCCACAAGGGATACGACACACAAATAGGCACACTCTGCAAATAATTAAAGTGCAAACCAGCTTAATTAGAGAAAGCATGCTTCTCCACAAACATGTACAGAGTGAAGTACAAGGAATTCGGCTGAACTACTCCATCCTGGTTTTCCAGACTAGATCTCAGTTATGCAGAGAAAACTGATTCCCCCTCCCCATTAACACCAGTCAACAGAACTTACCCTGCAAAAGAGGGAAAAAAATTGTAAAGTAGCACACCACTCACAACATGCCATTATTTGCTAGCATGACTTGTCCATAGAAAAAGTGAAGTTTCCAAAGTAAGAAATGCTGTTAAAGCGAAGATGCTTCATAATTGCAGATAGTATTGTCAACACCATCTGCAGCTCTCCAGCTGGTTACTTGACTTTCAGATGGCTCTCCACAGTAATTGGATTAAATAGATGATGGTAAATATTTTAGAACAGTTTGACCTTGAGAAAAAACATTTCTATGGAACATGTCATAAGTTCAGCTAACTAAATTTTAGTTATTCCTTCTGAACAAAGATCTTATTAAATAGGATGGCATAACATGACTTTTTAATCAACTTATTCCTCCATGATACATAATTTAGAATAAATTATAATAACCTGAATGAAGAACACTACTTGTTATCCAGCATGATCATTGTCAATATTACTGACATATCGTGATCACTTGGAAAAAAAGTACAAATGGAAAGCTACCAAGTCTCCAATAGGTTACTGCCACCACTTTAGGAACACAGCATATTATGTAGTGCTGACCAAGCAAAAGCGCGAAAAAGCCAGGATTCTAGACAAAATAATTTTTAAACAAGGGATGACGAGTGCCAATAGCCACACTACCGGAAGAGTCAATTATATTTTACTTCAGGTCCGCTGATGAAGTTTTTCATTCTGGTGAATTAGAAAACCTTTAGGCTCAACGTACTAATATTTTCAAACAAAGACTTCATCCAAGAATTGAATTAACTACTTTAAGATTAATTACAAGGATAAACAAATCTGTTGATAAACAAATCTTAAAGCCTAAAAAGTCATTTCATGCACTGAAAACTCAAATGATGAGAACTTACTTACAGATTACGTCTGTCTTTTCTGCATCTCAAAATACAGTGAGATTGCACAAATGCACATAGAAGGAACAGTTTCTTAGGGAAGAGTTACAAATTGTTACAAAAAATGTAATTTAAGAACATCGGCATTCTTTGGGAATCAATACTGATGTGCACACTTGTTTTATCTCTTCATTAATCAACTGGACAATGAAACAGATTATATCACCTGTAAATCTGTACATCAAACAGGGGAGAAGTGGTAAGCAGAAGCCTAACACATTTGATGGTAAGATTCAGAGGGACATAATTTTTCCAGCCCCTTGCAGTATTCCTCAAAGTTTGACAGAGACAGAAGTCCTGCACCTGGAACAAAGTGACGCCATGCAACAGTGCAGGCTGAGGGTGACCAGATACAATCCAAATACGCAGACAGTGACCTCACGTCCCAGCAGGCAAACAGAACATGTAGTTACCAGTGTTCATCTGCAATTCAAAACTGTAACTGAATACCAGGCTTCACTAACAGGACTACAGCCAGCAGGTCCAGGGGAGAGATGACTTCCTTCTACTCTGACTGGAACTGCGTCTGCAACAGTGCCATTTTGGGCTCCCCAGTAAGAAAGAAGCATTGATGCGCTGGAGCGAGTCCAGCAGAGAACCACTGCAACAGCCAGAACAGATAGCACACAATGAAGTGTTTGTTCAGCTTGAAGTAAAGGTTTTGGCAAGTGTGTCTTACTGCTACCTCTGCTATCTAGTGGGGGCCTATAAAATACAGGGCAAGATTCTTCCTAGACCTGCACAAAAGCACAACAGACGACAGAGCTGCAGCAAGAAACATTCCTATGAGGTAACAGTGTTTAACTGTGATGGTGAAGCTTCTCCTGTCACCTCTACCCAAAGAGGTTTCAGAATCTACATCTGTGGAGGCATTCGCAACTGGATGGACCTGAGCAACTTTCTCTCCTTGACCCTGCTGTGGGGCTGGACCAGACTACCTCTTGAGGTCCTGTGTGTGCTCAAAATCATTACAATTCACATTACATGAAGGTATAGAGACAACATGAATAGATCTAACACTAAACATGGTATTTTGGATGGAAAACCCAGACTGAGAATGTCATCCACAGTAAGATGAAGTTTACATGCCCAATTTCAAGCAGAACCTAATTTTGATTAAGATACACTCAAACCCACTTCCAAAGGAAAACCTAAAGCTTTACTGTGCTAGAATATATAAGCATCACATATTCCAAATCTTAAAAGCAGTGAAGGAATGGCTTCAGGTATCCAAGAACACTCACTGTTTCACACAACCCTGCCGCCAATCATTCAAAAGCTGTGTTGCAAGAAGCAGCTGCTGCTTGCGGTCCAACTTGCAACTTGAGCTTCAAGAAAGGGTTTGATGTGTTTCTAAACTTAAATTATACATCAAGTTCCAAAAGGTTTGGTATTTCACCAGGGAAAGCGTGGAGGGGAAACCTGCATTTCTTCCTTACAGGCATTACTTCTGGGCTTGCATCTGGCCTCAACAGTTTAAATCATCTAACTTGGATAGGACCATTTATATGGGGTGATGGTTAACGCACAGCTCTGGTATCTTGGATGCAGAAGCAGTTCAACAACTGTGACATCTTAAACACATTCTTTCTGGCTTTTGTTAATTTCCAGATATTATTTCCTCATTGTGCTACTGAGATACGATGACACACCTATTTTACTATTTACTGTCATTCCTGTATGCCTCACTTAGGTTACATGACTACAGACAAGCGACATCTTGTATCACAGAACGAATAACATTCCTACAGGCCAAGTCAGTTCTACATCACAATAAAACAGTCAGCTGCCTCGAAATTGTTTTTAAAGATGCTCATATTTTTTTACTATGGTTTTCCTGCAACAAAGCTAAAATGCTTTTTGACAACCAACCAACCAGAGCAAGAATAGTTGGCTTTGAATGCTGTAGCTTCTGCAATGCAGCTGGATAGACCACTCCTAAACATCATCTTAGATGTTATCTGGCACCTACAAGTAGTATCAATATTAATGTTTCTCTGCCACAGTGTAACTGTATTTTAAACAAAGTGAGAGAAACCCTAGAATTCGTATGAACTAAGCAGGTACAGAGCAAAGATTTCAGGCTTGAAAACAGCCTCAGAAAAGAAACATGCTTTTTCCTACCAGAATCTACGCAACAGCAGGTGAAGCAGCCTTCAGGTTATTTTACTTTAAAGATCTATGACAAAAAATGTTTTACTGGATGGTAGAATGATTCCCAGATAGGTATGTCCCTTAAGCAGCTCACTAAGGTAAACTAAGGGCTCTGACAAAGCTTTGCTATTTTTACAATGGCAACATCTTTTTTTTTTTTCCCCCAGCAATATATGCAATGCTTTCTCCAACTTCAAAATAAAAGGAATTTCTTAATTGGATATCTCACCTTGTC